TGCCATTTTCTTCTCTCTGGCATATACCACCTGTTAATATTGTATATATATATATATATATATATATATATATATATATGCGTCCTTTTGAAGCATTTTTAGTATCCTTGATATACTATTATAGTTTTTGTTAATATTTTAATTTACATTTTCTTTTTATGTAATTTGATTTATGGAAATAAAAAAAAAAACATGTTTGTATAGTTTTTATTAAGTTTTTAGTTTGAGTTCATTTAGTTTGAGTTATTTTAGTACTTCAAATTGAATGGTTTATGTTATATAATGGTATTTTTTTTATTTTAGTTATTATTTATTTTATTTCCAGAAATAAAAATGTTTTTATGGTTTAAATGAACTATAATAACTCTGTTTTGAAATTATAATGTTCTACAGAATTCCAATAGGTTTCTATCTAACATGCTTTCTGATGTGTTACAGTAGTGTAATGAACAAGAAGTCTACAGAGGGCATACAAGTGCAATAATTTCATTCTCAGAGTAACGTTTTTAGGCCTAGACAGTGGGGGCAGTTAATGAGGAGAAATGGAGCACCAGCTGGTCGTGTGTTAATGGGAAGGATCCAGATGATGTTAGGGGGACTGTGAAGAAGAAGCATGTGGTAGAACTCCAGAGCATCATCTGGACATGCAGCTTGTTCTGTGCAGATGAAGTGTAGAAGCATGCTGCAGTTGGTTGTGTAAACACATGCTACAGAACCCTTGGATATCATTAGTGTTGTATTTAAAGGAATATTTCACCCAGAAATGATAATGTCCTGATTATTTACTCACCTCCAGACCATGCAAGATGCAGATTCCATGGAAAACATTCCAGGATATTTCTTCATCTAATGCATCTAATTAGATTTCTTCATCTAATTTCAACTACAATGCCATTTGTAGTTGAAAAGTATAGATTAGAATTGTTTTATGTATGTATGTATGTTTTTTTTTTCTTTCCCTAAAAATGACGGATTTTTTTTTCCACCAGAGAAGACCCTTATTTGTTGACTGGGGTTGTGTGGATCACTTTGAAGCTGCCTTCAGTGTTGGTCTATGTTGGACCCTGTTTACTAACTCCAAAACCTTAATTTCTATTTGGCTGAAAAAAAGAAAGTCATATACATCTTGGATGGTGTGGGGGTGAGTAAATAATCAGGAAATTTTCATTTTTGGGTGAACTATTCCTTTGTGTGTTAAGGGATTGTGGTACTGTAAATGCACATCAATGATATATGAACTTAAAAAGATCCCAAGCAGAATAATTGCAACAATGTTAAATGTTGATGGATTCCTGTGTTAGTAATAATAATTTAAAAAAAAATCAATTACAATAGATTTAAGTGTTTAGTAATTATGATTTCCTAACTACCAACATTAATTAATTCATTAATTGGCTGAAAGCCAATGGGAATTATTATTATAATTTTTTTTAAATATGATTGTAAATCACATTCACCAGTTGCAACATCTGAAAATGACATTTTGGTCATATACTGTCTAAATGTACATTTTGCTTCTTAAAATGCAATGATTCTTTCTCAGCGTTGGATGAATTTTATTAACATTTGACAAGCTTAAACTCATAAAATTAGAGCAGATTTGAAATAATTTATTGTAATTAAAGTTAAATGATGAGAAACATTTTTACGTCTTAAAAAGTGCAAAAAGCAAGTTCAATTAAAACATGGCATAGGTATTTTCTGTGAGGTATTTGCTATGTACATATTTAATTTGATGCCTGATGTGCATATTTTCGAAGTATAAATGAGTAAACATTATTTGTATTATAATAGGGATAATTTAGGAAGTGCGTAATGTTAACGTAAAGGAACTGTTATTGAAACTACTGTTTGAATGCGCTCACGTGCTTGTGTATTGTGTAAGGTAGCGCACTTGAAGGCTCTCAGCGGCTGTTACAGGTGCGGGCTTGAGTCTTTCCTCATTGGCTCATCGGGGAGCCACGAGCGTGCTGCTCTCACGACGCGTTCACTGCGCGCTCATGGCGTTCCACTCGCGCTCGACAGCTGCGACTGACGTATTTGGACAAGAAATGAATGCCCTGTGAAACTTCTTCGTCTCCCGAATGTGATCTTTGCAGACGCCGTGGGTGTTTCCCCGCTCATTCCTCCGGTATAAATAATCCGAAAGCACGCCGGTGGATCGGCGCGGCAATTTTTTGGGCGACATTACCACGGAAAATACGACCGAAAGCGGTTTGCTTTAATTTCATGACCGAAAACTGACCGTTCACCAAGTTGGTAACGACTCCGGATCGTTAACTGTGGGGAGAAATGGGCACTTTACGCGATCTCCAGTACGCGTTACAGGAGAAGATTGAAGAATTGAGACAGAGAGACGCGCTGATTGATGAACTCGAGTTGGAGCTGGACCAGAAAGATGAACTCATCCAGAAGCTTCAGAATGAGTTAGACAAATACCGATCCGTTATAAGACCGGCAACACAACAAGTCCACAAGCAGAGTGTCCTTCAAGAGCAGCAGAGGACCAAGAGACAGGCGATCTCTGCCGAACCTACAGCCTTTGATATTCAAGACCTCAATCATGTCACCCTGCCTTTCTATCCAAAGAGCCCACAGTAGGTGCCACTTAAATCTGATCAGTGTTGTTATGAAGCTGTCCATCAAATTAACCGGAACAAAGTGCTGATGATGATTTGCATTACTGATGCAATTATGCATATGCAATCGTATAATGACACATAAATCATTGCCTTTGTGCTGTGGTCTTGGTCAGTAAGACACCTCGAGTTCTGCGGTACGAATATAATCATAACCATCCATCAAACCTGTCTCCGTCCAAACCTTCATTACTTCACTGATGTTATGTAGCCTATTGTGAATATAGGCAGACAGCCAGCCTGGTGATGCCACCTGTTGATTCTGTTTATCAACTTCAAAAGGGAGAAAAAGTGCATGTTCATATGTAGATTATAGTTCATGCATACTGTTTTTTTTTTTAAGAGAACAGTGAATTTCAAAATCTTATTTTTCTTCGTCATATATATTTTATTAGATTAGACTCAACTTTATCTGCTTGTGCAGAGCAAGTCTAACCAGAAGTAGTATTACAGCATAGTGTATTATATGTAATGTTATAATGTGCAAAATAGAAATATACAATTTGTATTTATATAAGGATATACACTGGTAGTCTATAGATAAATCATGGTAAAGTGCAAATTTGAAAATGAGGTACAAATGACAGAACAAATGAATGTGGTAGTGCAGAAAACATGATATTTAGTACGTTATTTAGTTTAGAATAGTATAATGCAGAATGACATATAATATGGATATACAGATAAAAAAAAAATACATTAGAAAAATGACAGACCCCACTGTATAATATATTAGGAAGTATATGATTAACATATATATATATATATATAGGCTAATAGTCATTTCAAGATTATTTTGGGAACATTTTTTTCCAAAACTAAAACATGAAATAAAATAAAATATAAAAAACCTTGAAATTATTTTATATTAAAAAGTTAATTTAAGTTACCTTGATGTGCTAAAATAACTAAAACTTAAAAAATAATGAAGACTATGTAGATATTTAAAAATCAAAAACTAAGAAAAATGACTTAAACACACAAGAAGATTATAAAACTTTAAAATTAAAACTGAAATGTGAAAAAAATAAACTGAACTGAAAAAAATATATAAAGATGTTTTTTTTGAAGGGAATGTATGAATTTCAAAATATATTATTTTTCTGCATCATAAATATTTTATTAGATTCGATTCAACTTTATTGTGCTTGTGCAGAGTAGGTCTAACCAGAAGTGCGAGTCGTAGTAATACAGCAGCGTAGCAAATCATTTTAATAATAATAATAATTTATGCATTTAGCAGACGCTTTTATCCAAAACGACTTACAGTGCATTCAGGCTATACATTTTGTACCAGTATGTGTATCAAATAAATAAATTATGGTGAAGTGCAAATTGGAAAATGAGCTGCAAATGACTACTATAGTGCAGATGACTTGGAATACAGTACATCATTTAGTTATTATATGTAATGTTATAATGTGCAAAATAGAAATATACAATTTGTATTTATATAAGGATATACAGTGGGGTCGTAAAGTCTGGGACCATATTCAAATTCTGGGAACCAAAACCCTGGAAATAAACAAAGTTTTAGGATTTTTATAAATGTAAAACAAGGAACGATGCAATGAAGATGAAATATTTAAGATTCTGTAACATTTGAATGTCACTAATGAAAAAGCACATTTGTGACACTGACAACATGAACTCTTTGTACAGACAGTCAGATGTTATTGCTTCCAATGAAGCGTTACATCTCAACTCATGCTGGAGAACAGCAGGTTTCGGGCATATTAGCACTAGTTCTGCTTTTAGAACAATGCAGATCCCACTATATAATAGAAGTATATATAAGGCAGTATATGATAATTATTAGCTAATAGTCCCTTCATGACTGTTTTAGGAACATCTTTCAGTCTCATATATCAGCCACAAAGGTGTACATAAAATGTTAAGCATTTGAAATTGCTTTTAAGCCTTTTAAAACTATATATAGAGTTCAATGAAACTGCATGATGATCTCTAATGAAATGCACACAACTGGAAAGTGGAGTAGATTCTTAGCACCGTTGATAATCTTTTCATCTTCTCCTCAGCAGGATCTCTAGAGCGGTATTAGACTCTGATTAAATTGAGGCTCCTGATGCGAGGTGGCATTTTCTGCACTTTTTTGCTATGGTAACCCCTTCAGAGCAATACTGTTGCCCATCTCTGAAGACTTTGAAATCTGTCCACCACCTGCAGCTCTGAGCTCAAAGAGAAAGTTTGGTGCATGGCCGTTTAGTTTGTTTTAATGAATGTGAGGTTTGATGTTGATCACGGTTTCTGTTTTTATTCTCCCCTTTTTTATTTTCATCATTTTGATTTCGGTCAGCACTGTTAATTTCCTCTGGAGACAGTGTGTAGGCTTCAGTCCACATGGGCTTTTTTTGGTAAATGAGCCTTTGGGAACCGAGAAGCTAAAATTAGGCAAACAAGAAGGAACTGCACTCTTGCATGAGAACATTGTTACACCAAAAGATACAGTATCAACGGCCTTTATGCTTGTGAATGTGGCCTGGCCTCTGATCATGATCTGCTAAGCGGAGTACTTGTAAATGGTTTTTGGATTAGTGATTTGCTATTCAAAATAGGTCATGATACAAACAGTCTGATATGGTATCGCGTGGGACGCGGAGAGCAGGGTAGGTACATTTTGAGTGAAAGCTTTAAAGCAACTCTCTACAGACACCTTGGCAATGGAATCGCCATTGGCTAGGTAATTTTTTAGTTTACTCACCAGACTATATTTTAATTTTTTTATGATAGAACTCAGTGATGTTTGTAGTGCAGTAATAGTAATGTTTGAAGTACAATAATACTAATAAAATAGTACTACTACTACTAATTATACTACTACTGCTACTGATAAGCTGCCTAGCTTGAAATTTGGTCGCATATGCGAGTGATTTACTAGCATTGTAGAGGGTTGTAATGTCAACATGAAATTAAAATTGACAAGCCCAAATTCCCAATAAAATCAAGTCCTGCCTTCTAAAACAGAGTAGGATACAATTAACTTTTATTGTTGACATTATAACTCCTAAAGGCCATGCACACACTGTGAAGTTTCAGGAGTGCCAACCACATTTAAATACAAGAGTGAATCCCCAAATTTTCATTTCATGTTTGTGTATGGAACAGAATTCATTTTCGAAACTGTGATGATTGACACCAAGATAATATGATGAGCAGTGTTCTGGCCTCTTGTTCATTTGGTATCCGTTATTTTTAACCATAGTAATATTACAGCGACCAAAGGCTCGTCATGTTCTGTTTTAACTAAGACACCATCAACAGTGCCATCGTATTTTGTTTATGTTTGGAAGGCTACTTCACAGAGTGCACTCTTTAAGGGTTGCCATGTCCACTTTTTATAAGCGGCGCTTATTAGGCATCTTTGGGATTTTTGTTTGGGCTCGGCTCATAAAGCAATCCAGTTTATAAAGTTAATAAAGTAGGCAGGTGCAGGTCACAATATTTTGGTATGTGGGACTCTTAACTTTTATAAAGAATATCTCTTTGGATTTGAAACTTTAGTTTTTGCAACTTTACAGATCTTCTTTATGCACCAAGAGCTTGTAGCACTCCAAAGAGAAAGGAAAAATTGAAATCGCATCATATGACCCCTTTAAGTTTATTTTGGGCTTGTTCTTATTTTTTGTTGTGTTTTTCTAGCAAGCTCTTGCAACACTAATGAGTCAAAACACTAATGTATCAAAATGATTTCTTGCATCGCACATACTTAAAAGACATAAATCTCACAAATCAGTTGTTCAGTTCAGTTCCGTACACACTGTGTAGAATTTCTGTAAATGTGGTGGTCACTACATTAATTTTTCAGGAGTTAATTCGGTTGTAATGCGTTTAATGAGAGCATTATGAGTGTTAAGTTTTCATTGCACCTCTCATTTAAACTTCAGAAGCAAAAGTGCTATTAGAGTTGGTGCAATTAATTTCTGATAAATCTGTTCAAACTGTCCATTTCAGTGAACTGATTCTAAACTCAGAAGTCATTGCATCATAACTGAAAAACGTACAGAATCCCTTTGTGCCTACGTTTGATCTAACTGAATATCCTGAATATGTCACATTATGGAAGTTAAATAGGTTGCTTTCCTGTGCATACTGTCCTGATATAAAATTAAAATTGAATTGAATGTCTTTGATTTGTTAATGTAATTTAATATCATATTTGAAATGGGAATGGTACAGCATCACACTTAAAGAAAAAAATCCATAGACAATTCCAGGACATTATCCGTTACATTTGCTGACCTTTAACCCTAAAACACAACACAATGCAATGCAAAATTCAAAATACAGATTAAACACCTGTGAAAAAAATATGGAAAATTGGTTCATATTAACACAGTACCTTATGCCGATTTTTACAGACTTTTCTTAGATTGCACCTGCACCATTTTGAGTGATCAAGTCTTACCTGCCTTCAGTTCCCCTGTCCCCTAGTCTTATTTACACCTCTCATTATTGCCGGTCGATGGCTCCCCATGTCTGTGTGGGAATGATAGATTGTCTCAATGTAATGTCTTCATCAAGTATGAAAAGTAGAATGATTTGTTGTTAATCCCCCTTTCAGTGTCAGACAGAAGGAACAATTGAAGCCATATTTCTCTAGACAATTGCACAATGGGGTTGATAAGAAAACAGCTCATGAAATGAGTTTATAATCCTGTAAGTGTCCTATTAATTTCAGTCATCAATGTTCCCCTTGGAATTCATATGCATACAAATAATCATGCATATCTGCTGCTGCCTGAGTTTGATTTGAACAGTTATTAGCAGTGATGACGCAAGAGTTTTATCAGCTGACCTCAGTCAAAGACGATACACAATTGCTTTTTTGTGCATTTGGTCTTTTTCAATATCAGTAGTTCACTGATTCCTGAGTACTAGGAAAAAAGTGAAATCAAGAGCACTATTTTAAATTAGGGATGCACGATATTAGATTTTTGCCAATATCTGATATGCAGATATTTTAAAATCATTTTGGCCGATGCCGATACCGATACCAATACCAATATATATTTCCCTTTGTTTTGAAACAACACCAAGTCCCTCTTGTGTGGAATTTATAAACAAATAATTTTTAACTTTGGTTAGTTTTGAGCAAAAACATATTTGTTAGAACTAATAAACATTATTAAATGATTAAATTTGTGTCAGCACCA